ACAGATAAGTAGTAATAATACAAATATAATCAAACTATAATTTTTCAGATGGAAGAGTCACTAAAAGAATGTGAATTAACCTATTTCTAGTAGCTATGTTTATTGCAGTGGAAAAAGCAGAGAGCATTGTCTGTAAGAAATTGCAGAATCGATCACTGAAATCCCACATAATCTCCTGCATACAATTTTCTTCATTTCTCAGGAAATGGTGATTTTGTTAGGCACAATGTGTTTATTTGATAAAAGAATGAGTATATATTTAACTGACTTGGAGAACAATCCCTTTCCCTGATTTCATTTCTTAATCTCTGTTGTACAGGTAGGGCCATTCAGATGCTTCATATGCATCAAAAGTAAGTGACTAGAAATGATGGCAATGTAATTTCACTCTATGTTATGCTGATTTAGCTTTGGCACAGTTGTGTGTTACTGCAGAATTTTAGATTAGTCTGAATGACCTCAGCTTTATTGCTTTTGAGATTCTAGCAATGATAAGCTGCCAAGTCATTGGAAATAAACAGAGGAAACCTAAAGAATGTGACATGACAAGGATGTAGTTTCACTGACTTCCCTTAGGTTCAGTAGAATTTATCACAACATGCAATATTTTTTTTAATGTACTTGTCTTCATGAACACAGATGTCTCCCATTTCAGCAAAAGTGTATGCCTGAAATGCAAAGATCAGTAAACACTGTCCTATGCTTTTGTGTTTTATGGGCACTAACAGCTCAGTGCAAGAACATGGAATTCATGAACCAAGGCTTTCCATTGATTATATCTTAATTCTGAAGTGTGCCTACTGAGGGAGGTGTATCAAGTCAATTGCTGATGAAAAGTGAGAATATTCCAGTTTATCCCAAGTTTTCCAGTGCCATTAGATAATAATTGAAGTTCAAACACACCAGTGTTGACAGTCTCCAAAAACAACTGCTCTCACAACATAGCTTATATTGATAAAGTGCTACAAAGCACAGCTGTCCTCACATTTACTGTTATTTGCCTCATAAAATGGTCTTCTATAAAAGAGGAAATTCATATCTCAGCATATTGCCTTGTAAAGGAGGCCATTTCATCTGTAGTCTGAGTTCCCTGATGGCCTTTAGATTACTTTTCAGAATTTAAAATTGCCCTCACACAAACACACACTGGACAGTCTCAATTCTGACAATTCAGCTTCACTAACTATAATTCCCTAAGATGACTTCAGACTTTGTCATTTCTCTTAATAGTTACTTTAAAAAATGTTTTTAACTTTTCCATTCAAAATACACTATGAAGTTAATGTATAACTTTAAGTTATTCTCCATGATTGAATGGGAAAGTGTAAGGAGAATTTTCCATGGCCTTTGCATTATAGCCACATATTTTTCAAAGTCTCCTCCATACATTGCCCTGTCCTCCAGCAGATGTCCCCCCCCCACCACTGTACTCTCAGTGTTACTCACAGTCTCTAACAAAATCTACAGCTCCCTGTTGCTCCCAAATTGACTGTCAGCCATTTCCTTGGTATATTTAGCCATAAATTTTCTATGTCTGAACAGAGGAGGATTTATAGTGGGCTGTTCAACACAGTCTTCCATTTCTTCGTCTTCTCAGGAAATCCTTAAGACCATTCCAAATACTAATGATGTGCCTGCCATGTGATTGAAGTATATCTGCTCATCCATCAGTTCAAGGGACTTGGTGTATCTTCAGATTCTTTTTGTCAATTATAATTACTCAGACCAGCACATAATATAGATACTGCTACTTGTGTTTCTATTTGATATTAAAATGTGAGAGGAAATAAAACAAGACGTATCTGTGCTTTACCCTTTGTGTTGTGTTCTGTCTACGAGAAGTTTATTACTTGAGCCTTGAGTAACTATGATTCGTGACTTCTTGTCACATTAATGAAAAGTTCAAGTTATTTGTACTTCTCAATATCTCATTAAAACTTTAGTGTAAGGCAAGAATTAATAAATATTTTTTAAGAGACCTTAGAAATCCCCTTGTAGTAGATCAGTACTTATCCCTAGCATAGGAATGGACTTTGGGAGCCCATCCCACATAGAGGGATACGCCCTGAGCCTAGACACAAGGATATGACAGACTCTGAAGACCCCACCTATGGAAGGCCTCACCCTCCCTGGGGAGCAGAAAGGGTATGAGATAGGTAGGGTGTTAGTTGAGGTGGCAGGGGAAGAGGAGTGGGAGAGGGAACTGGGATTGACAAGTAAAATTGTCTTTCTAATTCAAATGAAAAAAATTTAAAAAAACATTTTTTATGGTTTCATTTTTTTTAATTTTGTTTTTTTGGGGGTGGGGCTGCAAGGGCTGAGTGTGGAAGCCAGGGGACAGAACATGAGTGGGATCTTGTTGCATGATAAAAAATGCACAAAGAATCAATAAACCGTTAAAAATAAAGAAAGAATTTTCCCCATGTGGTCTAAAGGCAACACCAAATGTCTAACTGAGGTGCCTATTTAACATATCAAAACAGACTCTTGCCAGATTTCCCAGCATCCCTTAGTTACTGTTGGCTCTTCCAAGCTCCTGCCTCCTACACTAAACTTCTCCAACCCAGGGAATGGACCTTCCTTCTCTTAACCAAGTTTCTGATCCTACATAAATTAAACCATTTTGAATACATACTCTATTGGCCTCTTGACTCTTGGTCCACGTCTGCTTTCCAGATAAGCTTGCCAACCCCTTTCTCTTCCTTTTTTACCCCCTCACCTCCAAGTGTAAGCCCCTATCCTCTCATGACCTAGTTCAGTCTGGACTCTTCAAGATGTCTCCAGCTGTTCTTTCCTTCCTAACCACAACAAATCCTTTTCCTTAACCATACCCAGTGGTGGTCATATCTTCATTTTCATTAAGAAAGTGTGTGACTAAAGCTGCACAACCCTCTGTTACACACTTACGCCTACAAAAATCTGCTTGTAATTCAAGATGTGCATTTACCCTGTTCTTCAGGGACATAATGAAAAACATTGCCATCTGTCAAGTGACTGTTTTTATTTGTTTCTTTGCTTGTTCATTTGTTTTTAACTTTTTTTTTTTTTTTTGTTTTTTGAGACAGGGTTTCTCTGTGGCTTTGGAGGCTGTCCTGGAACTAGCTCTTGTAGACCAGGCTGGTCTCGAACTCACAGAGATCCGCCTGCCTCTTCCTCCCAAGGTGCTGGGATTAAAGGTGTGTGCCACCAACGCCCGGCTATTTTTTTTTTAACTGGCGCCACCTTTTTAATAGGTCAGAGTAACTGTACAATTCATTATATTCTGCATGAGAATAATTTATACCCCTCAACAAACTACAGGGAAGGTATGCTTTCAAAATCAACTAACAGAATGCATGGTGTGACGATAACTGAACATCTAAAGAGAAACACATTCCTGTCTGCCCTGTGGGGTCCTCCCTTGGAAGACAGACGCAATGAAGATCAGTTAGCTCTATTGGCTGTAAGAGTCAACATGGCTTTAATCATTCTTACAAATTATATAAAAATGGAGAACAGGGATGATTCCGGAACTTCTTGTGTAGTTGGGAGAGCTCTGGTACAAAGCATTTCTGCTCCCAAGAAAAATTACATTCCTACTTGCCTTAATTTCAAACACTCCTCTAAGTTTGTGCAGTTTCAGAAGAAATAAATAATACCATATGACATAGAGATGTATTTTACAGTATGTGGCTATTTAACCATTTGAAGTCAAATATATATTCTATTGTA